AATATCGGAAAGATATGCCAACTTACATACCCATTCACCATCTGCAAATAAATCCGCGTACTCATGCCCCTCAACAGTAAAAAATGCACGTACCTTCTCATTAAGTTCAAATATTCGCGTTAACACTTTTCCTCGTGATAATCACCGTACTTCTGTATGTAGTAGGAGTGTAGTGTGTTCTGATTCCATTTCCTGACACAAAACGGAAAAAAGCCGCGAATTTGGGGGCCGCAATTTGATGAGGTTCACGACTTTCACTACTTCGTCCAGCACAAATTTCAGAGAATATGGCAAAGACTTAGTAACAATGGCTTCACCGTGAATGAGACAATGATCGCATCGTATGTTAGGATTTACTTTGCGTATAGCTACAAATCCTTTAACACGGCCTGTCATAGAAGCTGCTCCGTCTGTACAAACACTAACGCAATCCCTCCATTTTAATTCATTATGTAACATATTCATTAGTGACACGAAATACTTCTTCGCCGGTGACTCGCTCGGGAAGTTCTTTGCAAAAAAAGAAATTTGTTGCAATTACATCTCCATCGATGTATCGAATGTAAGCAAGAAGTTGTGCGTGGCCGCTAATATCGGTGGACTCGTCGATCTGAAGCGAGAACTTCTGACTGCTGTTGATTTTCTCCTACATAATGGCTTCAATGTCACTGGACATGTCAAGAAAATACAGGGAAACCCTTGCGAATCCTTGCAGCTTTAAGGAAAAGCATGTACACAGAACATGCGGCAAGTATATCAAAGAAGCTGCATAAATTGGAGAAAAATAAAAATAAATAACTAGTCAAAACTATGATATAACAACAACTGTCAGTAAATAATTTACGTTTAATTTCTTAGAATACAACATTACTGTACATAAAAAATCAAGGCATGTAATAAAGAATAAACAAGCATCATCTTATTTAATCAGTACAGTGGCTGAGAATAAAATACAAGCATATGAAACACGGTAACTGGGATAAAATAAAAAGAATAAAATTCGACAATTAATTTCTTAGAATAGGTAAAAGTTCGTGTCACACCTTTCACCTTGTAACGGCCCACCAGTGTACTGCGGCACACCGGTTGAGGAACACTGGTCTAGATAATATGGGACCCTCAACATCTCACAACCCTATGGGCCTTCACTGTTACAGGGATAGCTTTGCTTTACTTACATTCAATACCTTGCAACGTGAATTTTGTAAAATGCATATGTTCTGCCTCCATTGATAGGCTTCCTTCTAAATGAACTTCAGCTTTATGTACATAACTGCAATTCGTGTTTCTTCATATCCTTCCTTCATAGCTGAGTGTGAATGGGTGCTTCACTGTTTGCAAATTTTCTTTCGATACATTTTAAATTATATTTTCGATACTAACTAGGTGAGGTTTTAGACATCAAATTTTGTTCTAGTGTAACATTATAATGGGCTTTGAAAAATGTCGGTCAAATTTATGCAGTTCCATGGTTATTGATCCATTTTTTTTTTAAATTTTATGAAAATTTGTTCCTGGTACCTCATCTTGTAGGAGCCCACAAATCCAGCACGACTTCGCTTTGAATGAACGAAAATAATATAAGTTCCTTAGGCAACCTAGCACATCTACATGCGTGGATTGAATATCATATGAACAGCCACTTACTCTTTATTTGTTTCTTCACATGTTCCCATGCGTTCCTTTGGGTTTTCGTCTCATAATTAGCATCGTCACATTTACATTTATTTCTCCCTACTGGCCTCTTTCTTTGAGGTTTCCTCACCAAAATTTTTATGCATTTCTCGTCTCTTGCATACTCCTTGCTTGCTGTGCCAATCTCATCTTCCTTGATTTAATTATTCTAATCATATTTTATGAGGTACGAAAATTATGAAACTGCTTATTATGCATCTTTCTCCACCCTTCTATGATAAATGAAAATTCTTCAATTTATATTCTCTCAAATTTCAATAGTTGGTCTCCCTTTGCCTCTGTTTGCCGTGCCATTCCTGCAGCTTCTCTTACACATCAGTTCATCTGGTAGTCTAAACTTGCAGGCGTCCCGCAAGTGGCTGTAACCTTGGATGGCGAGTGAATGGCCATTCTTTCTTTTTCTGAAATTAGTAAATAAGTCAGAAGAGCCCTACAGACGTAACAGACCGCGCCATAGCTCAAGCGGTTAGTCACTGGCTTCCCACCGCAGAGGCCCGGGTTCGATCCCGGGTCTGGTCAAGTGGGGTAGGTTTTCTTAGAGTACTTCGGTTTCCCCTGCCAATTTTCATTCCAGCAAATTCTCCATCATAAAACTCACCCGTGGCAGGTACAATAGGCCAATCAGTGGCCGCCGTGCCGAGTGGAACCACCTGGACTCCACCCCCCCNCCCCCCCCACTAAGCGAATTACAGACATAATTACGGATTGTAGTTCAACGCCTAAGCAGATAAATGTGTGTGTGTGAGTGAGAGAGAGCGAGAGAGAGCGAGAGAGAGAGAGAGAGAAACTGCTCATAAAATTGCGACGCCGTGGAACCTGGTAGATATTAGTCAGTGTTTGGTAAGGACACACTGCCCAACAGGTTCGAAGAATAGACAAAAGAAGCAAGGAGCAAGGAGCAAGATATAAGACTTAAGAAGAGCCACCGAAGTTTATCGACGTTTCGTCGGAACATAAAATCTCCATCTTCAGGTTCAAAGAGTCACTCAAGCATGCAGCATGATGTAGGCATCTTGGCTTACTTTTCGACCCTGAATATGAGATATTACATTTCTCCGAAACGTCGCTTAACTGCTACCAGTGTAAACAGTGTCATACCCAATAATATAGTATTCTCATTACTGCACCTTCATATAAAGGCTGACCGGTTAATGCCGTGTAGGGAGATAATCGCTGTTTATTGTGAGAACCATACGGAACACACAAATACACTGTGTGGGCAGAATGCAGAGAGAATTTTATTTCCATCCACGCATGCTCATAAATAGTTTATTTTTGTTATTGTGTCTTGTTTTGTTAACTTCTGTCCATTGGTACCCCCGTGTGGAGGAGGGGTCGAATACCTCCACCGCTACCCTGCAAGTCGTAGGAGGCAACGAAAAGGGAAGTGTCAAATCTGAGAGAGTAAAATATGGTCGCGAGTCCCAAGGGATTCGGACCCGAGAAAGACCGCGCTGACAAGGGCCAGCAGCATATGGAAAAGACAGATCCGTCCTCTCGTCAGAGAGGGCGCCCCACAAGAATAAGACCGTAACTGTCAAACGGCAATAATTAATATCTGATCATGAGCCCCTGATGGGGCTCGACACAAAGACGTAATGACTGACTGACTGTCTTGCCGTCAGTCGCAATGTGACTTTTATTTTGACTTTGACTGTCCATTGCCTCTTATAAGTTATTAAATTTAATTACGTTTTCCAGTTCTTTTCTTTGCGTTTTTACGTTATTAATATCGATCATAGAGAGATATTACAAAAATAAAATATTTTATACATTCGCCTACAATTGTATACGAAGATTATGTTGATCATGTTAATATAAATATACTGCCTTTAGTTGATAACAAATCATGAAGCACTAGTACTATATTTCAGTGTAGACGCCATTTTATTGCAATTGTTATAGGAAATATCATAATGGAAAACTTGGGTTTGAATATATAGTATGTTCCATTGAAACCTCCCACATTTTATCAGATCGTAGAATAGAAAGTATGAATGGTAGGAAAGTGACGCTACATGATATACAAGGACAACACAACACATTTCTTTTTGACACTAATAAACCTCCACATGTGCACCATTGGTAGCACGAACATTATCCAACCTTCATTCAATTCCTTGCCATTCAGAGGAGACACGAACACACGATCCTTCACGTAACCCCAGAGGAAGAAATCGAGCGGCGTGAGGTCCGGTGAACGTGGTGGCAACAGAATTGATCAGCCACGTCCAATCTAGCTATCTTGGAAGGTTACATTGTGGGATCTCCGAATATCCAGATCCAAATGTGGGGGGGGGCTGCATATTGTTGGATGATTATGTAAGGCTGCAGATCGGCTACCTGGGGATACATGAACACTCTAATATGTTAAGGTATACGTGGCCAGAATAAAAACGGGAATAAGATTCTTTGAGTTTCTCTTTCATCTAGTGTTAATTATAATCCGTAACTTATCACAATTTGTTCGCAATGATTAATTAAAATGTGGGAGGTTTGAACGGAACACACTGTATAACACAGAAACATTTAAGACATTTACGGCCGTGAAGAGAACATATTGAAGTAAGCGAAAGTTGTTTCTTTTCTTTCATTTGACTGTTTACTTGTGTAAACAGTGTTGTGTATATTAGTGATCGCAAGTAATAAAGTAGTTGCAGGGATACATCAATGTCGATTTAATTAGAGGTATTGGTAGTCACAGGAACAGTGTTCATGCCTATAGCTGTATGTATATGACCGATCTAAAAATATTTACCACTTACTCCTAGTTTATAAACACTGCTATGCAATTCTATGGAGCCGTCACTAATATAGGCAAACGTAAAGTTGTTCCTGTGCTTAATTAAGCAAAACGCCATGAGGACGCATAGGGACAAAAGTGGTGAGGTTCACCCTCGGTCGCCTTCCCTATCGAAAGCGCATCTCGTACCCATTGATTTGTGGTCGTGAGACCCAGAAGTACGCAGAGACAAGCCCGCTACTGCGGAAAATCATAATGTGTTCATTTCTTATTCATTCGGTCATACAGACTGAGTGGTCCCTCCCTCTGATTATATGAAGTAAATTTAATGTCAATAGAATTTTCACATTATCATCAGCTTTAAGAATAAAGATCATAATAAATGTAGGATGTTCTACTTGACCAAATATAGGAACGGATGCATCCTCGAGATTGAACTATGACTGCAGACGGTATTACGTTTCGTAACATGGCAATGAAAAGTAACATGAGGTAAACACGCCGGATTTTTGAAAGCGCTGTCGAACCGGTCCCTAAGCTGTTCTTATTGCCCATTGAGTGCTCCTCGCGTCACACAGACCCAGTCTGCTGAACGTTCCCCTGATGGGTAGTGCAGTGTCTGGTTGGTCTGGTTGTTGCGTGCAGTGACTGGCCATGAACCCGGGATACCCGACATCATTTTCGGATCAGGAGTCTGAGGACTCACATCCTCAGGTAAGCCCTCGATTCAGTGGAAATAGTTTAAGAACTGTAGGCGGATTTCTTTCAAGACATGTGGAATTTTAGACAAATAAAAGCACCTAATTCAATGTCCGGTATTGTAACACATTCTATTATGTTAGGTAATAAATATTTTGAACAAATTAGGGGGCACGCTGTAGTGTAGTTCGCCGTGGCACTATGCTAAACCCGGAAGGTTGCGAGTTCGATTCGCGATGAGGTCATTGCTTTTTTGCAATTTATCTCATCCTTCCAGCTGAACTATGGCCCTGGGTTTGACTCTGTCTATAACAGAAATGAATACCAGTCATTTTCTTGGGGGGTAAAGGGCGGTCGGTGCAAAAGTCTGACAACCTTAATGCTAACTGGGAGCCAGTCTTCTAAAAGATGTGGGAGCCTCGACCATACACACCCCCGTGGCCTCCACGGCCTGTTATACGGGAAAATTTACCTTTCCTTTAGATACAAATTAAATTCGAGCAATTATAAATGAATTAAGAGTGTATGTTCTTTGGCAGACGGAACAGTATAAACCACTGTCGGCTGTCTTTTGCTCCCCATTATACATAACATCGTATCCCGGAAATAGGAAAATAAATTGAACAGGAATTGCGAATGTTTCAAATATATATTGTCTATGTAAGATTTGAGGCTTTCACGGCGGTGACTATGAAGAAAGCAGTTTTCTGGGATTTGGCACCGTATATATGTGGTGTTAACCGACGTTTCGGAGGAACGTATCGCCTCCATCTTCAGGGTAGAAGAAAAAATATATAAGAAATCTGCAAGCAAAGTGACCGTGTACCCTGAAGATGGAGGCGATACGTTCCTCCGAAACGTCGGTTAACACCACATATACACGGTGCCAAATCCCAGAAGACTGCTTTCTTCATATATTGTCTATTCCAAATCCGTGTTCACAGGTTGCTACGAAGTATCGACATTGTATTTCAACCCACATTTTCGTGTGTAATATTTTGTGTATATCCATATTAGTTCAACTGCAACTCTTTCGTGCGTGCCCACTTTTTCCTGCATAATTCCCCCCATTCCAGATGCACATGGTTATAGAGAAGCGGCAGAATTCATATTTTCATATCGATGTATTCGTACGCTTCAAACAGAAGGCTTCAGAATAGCTTTGCTTGTTGAAATTGTAATTTCGTTTGATGAAGTAGGAAGATATAAATCGCGAGATAATTTTTTGAATTCTTTGCATAGGAATCAGGATAATTCAAAATGTTCTGCATTCAGATATACATAATTATTGAGTGTGGGTAATTTTTGCTTAATTGTATTCTACAACTGAATGTGGACCAAATTCGTATTAGTGCTACCTCTCACCGTTTTGGGTACCTTGCCCGGGATGTTGTTCAAGGAAAAAGGGTTCCTAATTACTTTATGATCATTTATTTTTAAAACCTGTGGTTTCGAATTCCACTTGAGCCATTTTTGTCTGTTTTGCATTTATTCTTTGGTTATATTGTCATATGTAGGCTGCAGCCTTTTTCTACGGGCTGATCCAGCGGCAAAGAAGTCGTACCTACCTTGTGTGGGTTTCAAAATCTGAACAAGCGCCCGTGGTCCGAAGGCCTGTACAGCGAGAGAGAGAGAGAGGGAGAGAGGGGGGGGGCAAAAATCTGTACACTTTTGAGTCGTCCTGAGTTCAGGCCCCACCGAGTAATTAAAATAAATGCGTAAACGTTTTGCCATATTAGTAAATATACATCTGATACATGAACTTGGCTGTATAGGTCGGGAGACGTGAAACTCACATTAGGAATTATAGTATATAATTAAATAATTTGTAAATATAATAATACTGTACACGGTATAATTAAAGTCTCAATGAGTAAGACATTCTACAATTCAAGATTAATGACATTGTTTTTGTGATAGCGATTTGTTGCCGACTGTGACCCTTCTTGCAGGAACAGAAATGAACGTCTTTTGTACTTTGTACGTATTTTCTTTGATGGCACAAAACATGATGTATCGATATGTGGGTATTACTAGTATTCATTCTTATTGTGCAGATGTCAGCACCGAATATGATGGATCGTGCCAGATTTTATTATGCGCCATAAGGACAGCAGCTCGGACAGAAGCTGGCACAGCAACAAATTTCATAATGGCCTTCTCTACGAGAACAATATATACAAGAAGACACAAGGTTTATATAACCAGCTGGACCAATAGCAATAAGCCCCTGCGATATTGGCAACAGTTACGCCTGTGACAAATATCTTAATAGAGCCGACCCATACGGAGCCCTGTTACACCAGCAGCTACCTATGTTACAGAACCCTAGTGTAATGGGGCAAATTGAACCAGCCGTTACACATGCCAGATCGAACACTGCTTACAGTGCAGACTATTCCAATGATATGGACGTAGCGCTGGAATGGTTATCGCAGCAGTCTCCAGCTGCCCCCCTTTTCCAGTCATCACTTCTCTAGACTGAACCTGGACCACCTGCTTTGTCTCAGCAGCAGGAGATCCATATCGCCCCATCACTGGTAAGTAATTCGCCCCCCCCCCATGTAAGCTCCGCATAATGTGAAAATATGGTCGAATGGAAATATAAACCCCTAAATCATTCTCGATACTAGAAGGCTACGATTATTCAGATGTGTGCTACGTCCGTCTTTATTTTGGAATATTTTCTCGAACGTACTGACTGTGAGAAGACTAAGCCCCAGATTAAGTCTGGATGCGGAGGAGATGGGAACATCTGTGTTCCAGTGGGGAATCTGAGTGAGAATTTCGCGGTTCCAGACTTTCGGAATTGATCAACTCTTCGTTAGAGCAATCAGGCACTCATATTTTTCTTCATTTGATACGGCGTAAATTAATTTTACCCATGTTCCTACAACTTAGACGTCGTGGGCGAATCCGAATGAATTGGAAATTGTTTGCCAAGGGACCTGGCTTCCTCGCTACAAATTGATCAGAGTATATTAAACTGTCTATTATTAGATCACATACAATTACATATATATAGATATAGATGTGTAATTTATTTAATGTTAATCTTCTTGTAACATAAGCACAGCTAGGAGTGTTGAATATTTGTATTTTTATGAATGTTTCGGAGGATAGAATTCGTGTGATATAAGAAATCTGCTCCATGAAAGGACACATATCAAAGTCGTACTACAATCTGACAATCGCCTATTGTTCTGTTTCGCAAAGTGAGCATCTCACAACGGGGGGGCTTGGGCTTTTCGTGTTGTAGGTCGAAAGTGGGAGTCCGTATCTGATACAAATGATCATAGTATATTCAAATATTTTATTTACGATTCGATAAATTTCAACGTCAGTTGACACACTCCACAAAGTATGACAGACGGAGGAGTTACAATGTTGCAATACATATATAGACAACTGCAATCACAAAGTTGTCACACGCATGTGTGACTGCAGATGAGGTTTCGATTGATGTTTCGATATATTGTACATTTTAAGACACTACTAGTAACAACAGTTTACAGTTCCCTGTTAAACACACACCATTGTACTCTGTCTGTTATAGTATCCAGTTACCTTGACAGATAACGGTTCCTACCAATGCAGATTCTTCATCGTACGTGCTCGCGTCCTTGCCGCCTGGCAAATATTCCATAACTGGCTTATTGGCTCAACTGTTCTTGTTAAAATATAATGGCACGGACTGCATAGAAAACCCGCACCTTTCTTGTATTTTAATCGTTTACACAGGAACAACACAAATCCGTTACTCAGTATCGGCTGGTGTACGTTTGCTTACGTCGCGGTCATTGTGCAGCAGTCGCTATTTCCTCTTTTCTGACGGATGTGATGGTGATGTCTGTGAGCGGTCTCGTTTTCGTTTTCCGTAGCTCTGTACCCTCGGTGATTACTCTCCAACCGCTCCAGCTGCTCCCCCCTTAAATTCCCTTGTCAGAAGCTGATCCCCTTTAAGGTGTCAATGGCTTCAGTGGTATAACCATTTTTCTTCTTTCCTGCTCGGTTGTGGTAAAAGTTCCGAGTGTGGTCGATGACCTGTTACTCTAGCTCCTACTCCCTGTGCAGTCTGTACTTTCGTTTCGAAGTGTATGGACCCATCCACAATGTCCCGTCCCTCACGTGCCGCTGTCTACTGGAAGTCCCGGCTCTTTGCTTTGCGGCCTCCAGCCCTACTACCTGCCTGGTCCTCTTTTCTATTGGTTCCGGCGTACGAAGTCAGGTTGCTAATCCTTCCATCGCTCCTTCTGTGTTCCGCCAGTCTCCGATTCAGTCTCTTCACTAGGGATTTTTCGATGTTCCGACTCGTGTTTCATTTTTCTGGATTTGCCTTCAAATCCGTGGCCTCCTCCTTTTCTAGACAGGCCTTCGTTTCTTCTAACTGGGAGTTCATCTTGGCCAACATCCTTTCGCGATGTACCATAATGTTTTTCTTGGCGGTCTCTTTTTTCTGCTTTCAATTCTTCTTGGACGACTCTTGCTTCTTCTTTTATTTCCTTTAGATTGGCAATCGCGTTGGCCTGAGCGGTTCATATTCCTTCTTTCCTTTCATTTACATTGTTTACTCGATTTATTGCGTATTTTAGCACACAGCTTGTAACTGCAATTTACTCTTCATTATTACACAAGAGTGTTCTTTGTCTGTTACTGTCGCCATTAATCGTTGCCTAGTAATGGCTCCTACCAATGGAATTTCTTAATCTTCCCAACTTATGTCCTTGCCGTCTAACAAATATCCCACAAGTGACTTATTCAGATGGTCAGAGTCAGAGTTAGTTTAACACTGGCAGTTTACCGCCAATCAGTTCGTCTTGGCGAAAATCCCCTTCAGAATCACGGCCAGATATTTTTAACTGAACCATTTTGTTCAGAATCCTTTCCATACATTCTCTCTGACGATAGGATGGATCCGTCGTTCACAATTCCTTCTGGTCCCCTCCAGCATAGCCATTCTCAGGTTCGATTCCCGCGGGACTAATGAACAGATTTTACTGCCTCGGATTCGAAAG